TTCCCAGAATTCTCCTCTCTCCTTGTCCCACCTACTTCCTGCCTGGCCACTGGCCAATCAGTGTTTTATTTATTGACCAATCAGAGCAATTTGACATACATACCATCCCACAGCACCAGTCTAAAAGAGAAACAGCCAGGTAGTGGTGGCACACACTAGGAAGATTGAGACAGGAAGTGATATGGCTGGGCTGAGTAAGGAATATCAGGTCTCAGGAGACATGAATTTGCACTCTTGCAGAGGCTCTGTCAGGCTGAGGAGTTTGTGAGGTAAGAGGTGGTTGTGGCTTGCTCTACTTCTCTGATCTTTCAGCTTTCACCCTGATATCTGGCTCCATGTTTTTATTATAAGACCATTTTGGATTCATGCTACAGTTCTATTTCTCTTGCTCTAAGTTGAAGTATTTTTGAAAACTAATTCTCACTGAAACACTGAAATCCTTTTCAACCTCTTTGTTCCCTGAAGAATGGCATATAGACTTCCTAATTTGGCTCCAACTACTCATTTTAAAAAGTTTGTTTTATTGTAGTAAAATATTTAAAATAATAACTATCCTCTTAACTTTTTTTCTTTGCTGTGTCCTTTCCTCAGAAACTATTTATTGACTGGGTGGGACAAAAAAAATGTAACCTTGGCCACAAAGACATTACTAACAGTATTCATAGCTTGTTATTTTAATAATTCTAGGCATGAAGATAATGGACTCTTGGTATTTACCATTGGAACAGCCTGCCTATTGCTTTCACAATCTTGTGGTGATATCTGGATGGAAGTATTAAGGAAAATCACAAATAATAGTTATTTGGGTTTTATGCAGTATGGACTCAAGATCATATTCCACTTTGAAAACCATTTTTGGCTTTGCATTGTCAGCAGAGAGTTGACTTCTGACTGTTGATTTCAGGCATAGAAATTACCACACACATATCTTCCTACCCAAAGGAATAGCTAATTTGGGCAAAATAGAGGCAAGTGATATTGTCTGCAATTGGTGTTGGCATTTGCTGCAAAGACATATATGTTTGGTTTGGTACTAAATGTAGGTTTGGTGCTTCTAAACTATCGTTCTCAAGGATGTTAAGAATTTTCTCTTCCAGGTTGTATTTATGTATTTAGGAAATTTATGAATATATATATATATATATATATATATATATATATATATAATACCAATTAATTAAAAAAAAGAGGCCACATTTGAAAACATGCAGTAAAAGGATATATGGAAGGCTTTGGAGGAACAAAAGGGAAGGGGGAAATGATTCAATTATTATAATCTGAAGATAAGTAATTAAAAAATAATCTTAGTACAGGTAGTCTTCTAATAACTAAATAATCCTACGAAGTAGGTGCTGAATATTGCCATTGATAGAAGGAAAAAGAGGCCCAGAAAGTCTGATTTGTCTAAAGTTACACACCTAGGAAACCAACTAAACAGATTCCCATCCAGGAATCAGTGATTAAGATGTCCTCATTTTATTGTATTACCTATATTGCCTTTAAATCCTGTTCTCCAACCTATGTCAAGTTGGAGGCAGTGAATTACTGCTGTTACAAAATTCTTTTGGATTTGCCTTCTTTCCTCACTTAGATAGTATTATCCATGATGATAATGATAAATAGATGAGATTATATGTGTTAACATGGTACAAAGCACAAAACTATGTATATACAATTTTAATGCTATCATTATTTTACAGAAAACTTAGCATAATTCTATTTTGTAATATTTCTTTGCTTATCAACTTTTTAAAGTATATTGATTATATTTCTTTAGCAAGGAAAGTTATTTAGGTATAGCAAAAGTTCAGATCATCATAAGACACACTAGAATAATACCTTGTAACTGAAGAACATAATATGTGTGGTTATTTGAAACTTCCATTTCTCTCTAGTCTTTCTTCTACAGTTATATTCAAAGTTAAAACTTTATGATGGCTTGGTTCCAATAATTGATATTTAATGGTTATATTCTGTATATTTGGACACAACTTTTTTTGAACCAGACATTATATATCCACAAATTGGAAAAATAGTTCTTCATAAAGGTGGTTGGCTCTTGTGTTTAATGTGTTTTTTAGCTGAAGACTGATTGCTTCTGTGTATAATACTTTAAAACAGTTTTTTAATTTTATTTGTGTGTGCGTGCATGTGTGAGGTGTGTGTGTGTGTGTGTGTGTGTGTGTGTGTGTGTGTGTGTGTGCATGTGTGTGCATGCACACGCGTGCATCTTTCTGGGCATATGGTGGGAGATCGGAGGGTAGCCTTGTGGAATTGATTTTCTTTTTCCACAGTCTGGGCTCTGGAGGTCAAACTCAGGTTTTAGGCTTGGCAGCATGCTCCTTACCCCCTAGGACCGTATTACATTTTTACCCAGAAAAGTTAACTTGTCCCTTTTTTTTGTCATCCTTGATTCTTAGTGAGTAACTGTTCATCAAAGAATGTAAAACAACTAGTATTTTTCATGGTGATGGTGGTGCTTGTTCTATAGGACTTTACTAAACTTTCAAAATATGCTTTAGCTGTATAACTGATAATATATTCTCTAATGGCCTCTATTGAAATGGTAGATCTGATGATAAAAATTGTGGAGAGTCTTGAACTTATAACATAAGACATTTTATTAATGTAGTCGAAAACCTGGTCTTTATTGTAACATAATTGAGCTTAGTATTTCGAATTTTTATTCATATTGTTAGTAGTAATTTGTATTTCCTTTTATAATAATAAGCTTTGATATGACTGCATTTGATTCCAAAGCAATAATATTTTCTTGCCAATCTGTTATAGTGACCAACAAGCAAGATAATTAACTAACAATTTTTAACATAAAAAATTGTATTCCATTCTCACTTAGAGGCTTTGTGGCTTTGGAATTAGATGTGAGTTGAAATTTCAATTCTGGAGCTTTTTAGTAGCAATAAATTTATATCCTTGAGCAGTTTTGTTGTTGGCTGCAGGTGCCGATTCTTATCTCTCAGCGCCTTTGGGAGGATCAGATAAGCTTGTGTGGTAACCTGCTTCCTATGTAACAGAGGCGGATTTTTTTAAACAGTTGTCCATTTATGATAATTTACAGATGAAAAAAGCTGAGGACTTATCTTATAAAAGTGTTTATCTTCTACCTAAAACAACCCAGTATTAGTTTTATATGTTTATGAAACATCTCATCAATATAATCTTTATAATTTTGAAAATATTTCTTTAGTGAAAATATTTTTAGTTAAAATATTTTATGCAGCAATAGTATGATTTGAACATTTTCTATAAATTACATATATACCTACATTCTAAATGATATAGGTGTGTGTTTTTATAGGTTTGCCTGAATCCATTATTGCGGCTGCATGTTCAAGGAGTGGCCAGAGGGTTCTGCATGTTGACTCGTAAGTTTTAACCCTGGTAGCATTTAACATATATGTATGTCTATGTATTTATATATGTGCTTGTATATATGTACCATGTGAAATTTCATTACATAGAAAAGGCACTGGGATTATTTTCATTTTTAACCGATAATGTGTAAGACACATAAAATACAAGGTTTCTTACTGTATTCTTTGAAATAAGGATCTTGTCCTTTAAAAGTAGTAAACCAAATGCATCTTATAAAAATTTTTTTTTCTCAGTCCTGAGCTTGATCTTAAAATAAGCAATTCTTTAACAGGCTTGAAAACCCCATGTGTGCCTTTTCTTATATAAATTGTGTGTGTGTGTGTGTGTGTGTGTGTGTGTGTGTGTGTGTGTGTTTGTGTATACCACATTTATTTGGTATTGTATTTTAGGCTTCATGTTTTATTAAAAAATTAGCCATTAGATTTGAATTTATGGTTTTATTAAAGGATATTAAAATTCGAACTTAAAAAAGTCTTAGGAAAAATGTCTAGTTTTCTCTTAACAAAAAAAAAGTAAAAGGAAAACTACTTGATGCCTAACTTAAATCTTAATTCCCATGTCCCTTGAAAGCAGGTCTTATATCTGCCACCTATATGTTTACTTATTTTGACTCAGACGAGAAAGACTAAGTGGACTTTGTCTTCCTTGTAGATACTAACTACAGTATTTTCCAGAGTGCTGGAAAACCAAGTAGCACTAGGTTTGTAAATAGTGTATAGTGTTTTCCCATATGTTCATATTGAAAAATGTAGCATTCATTAATTTATACTTAGAAGTAATATGATTCATGTTTGCATTTTCCTATATGCGTGTATGTTATTATACCTTATTCTTACTCCGTTTACCATTTCCTTCCCCCATCCCACTAATGCTCTTCTTACTGATCCCCTTCCCATCAGTGACCCCTTTCAGTGTTCATGTCACATGTATTTACAGCTGTTTTCTTTACCTTCTCTGAGGCTCCTAATCAGATAATTTCCTTTTCTCTTACGGTTTCCTTTTTGTTTTGGGACATTCTGTCTCTCTGTATCTTTCTTTCTACAGATCTTTTTTCTAAGATCATGTGCTGGTTAGTTTTTGTCAACTTGACACATACAGGAGAGTTATCTAGAAAGAACATCAATTGAGAAAATGCCCATATCAGATTGTCATGTGTAGGCAAGTCTGCTAGGCATTTTCTTGATTAATAATTGAAGTGGTAGCTCATGGTGGGTGAGGACATGCCTGAGCAGGTGGTCCTGAGTTGTATAATAAGGAGGCTCAACAAGCCATGGCGAGCAGGCCAGTAAGCAGCATTCCTACATGGTCTCTGCTTCAGCTCCTGCCTCCAGGTTCCTGCCCTGACTTCCCTTCATGATGGACAGTACACTGTAAGATTATAGAAAGTAAACTAAAACAAATTGTTTTTGTCTATTTTGGATTGTTTTTGCTTTGCTGTGAAATTTTGCATTTTTTAAATATATTCTTCAGAATGCAATTGAGACTTTGATGTGAAATGTGTTTTTGTGTCACTGTATTTTACATAGCTGTAAAAAAATGTAGCTATTTTTGCAATATGAATTTTATCATTTCATGTGCATGGAAGGTCTTTTCATCTTTTCTTCTTCAATTTTTTTAACAATGTATATTTATTAAGGGAACAAGAGGATATCCAAGAGGAATCCTAGTGAGGGCCCAGAGGCCTCCAACTAGACCAATGACTCATTGCAATGAACAATTTCAAGTAAAGATGTGTGGATTAAAGGGTATACTGTGTGACTCAGTGAGCCACACTACAGCTTCCATGCTGAGATTTTTTTTTATTTGTTTTTTGCATGTTGGTTTGGTTTTTCGTTGTTGTTTTGGTTTTACTTTTAAAGCTTGTTTTGGGGGAGGTTGCATGAGCACAGGGCAGAAGTGATGGGACTAGGAGATGAGTGGGATTGGGATGCATGATATGAAATCCAAAAAGAATGAATACAATGTGAAAAATGTGTATTTGTTTTTAATTCTTTTTTTTTTTTTTTTTTTTTTTTGGTTTTTCGAGACAGGGTTTCTTTGTGTAGCTTTGCGCTTTTCCTGGAGCTCACTTGGTAGCCCAGGCTGGCCTCGAACTCACAGAGATCCACCTGCCTCTGCCTCCCGAGTGCTGGGATTAAAGGCGTGCGCCACCACCGCCTGGCTTTTAATTCTTTAGATAGGGTCTTGTAGCACAGGTTGACCCAGGATGATCTTTAACTTCTGATTCTCCTCACTCTGCTCCCCAAGGGCTGGGATTAGTAGATATAAGCCATCTGACACCCTGTTTTAAATTTTAATTTTCAGTGTTTATCATTGTGGTGATCTTTTATCTCTTTTTAAAAATTTTCCTGAGTATTTTAATTTTTTGTGATGTTATTGTCAGTGAAGTTTTTTGCTCCTAATGTTTTCCTCTACAAGTCTGTTATTGTTATATAGTAAGGATAATGGCTTTTATATGTTGATTTTTATATCCTATTTTTACTATAAGTATTAATTGGCTCTGAGAGTTTTTGCTGAAGTTTTTCCACTATTTTCAATATAGAATCATATTATTATGAAGTGGGAATAATTTGGCATTTTCCTATTTTACATCCACTTCATTTCATTCTCTTATTGAAATCTACCTTGACAAGAGTGGAAAAAGATTCACCATTTTCTCATTCCAGGTTTTAGAGGAAGTGCCGTTTCTCTACTTAGCATAATGTTGGCTCTAGGTTTTCCTTTTTGATGAGATATGTTCCTTGTAGTTACAGTTTTCTAAAAGCTTTCATCATGAAGGGATGTTGAAATTTGTCAAAGATCTATTCTCAGTGCACTGATAACTGTCATGTGGTTTCTAGCCTTAAGTCTGTTTAATATGTTGCATTTATTGATTTGTCTATATTGATCCAATTTTGCATCACTAGGTGAAACCAAATGGTCATAGTATAATAGATTTTAATTTGTTGTTTTTAATTTTGGTTTACATGTATTTTATTGAGATTTCTAAACATCTTAGTTTATTAGTGAAATTGGGCTGTAGTTTTCTTACTAGCTTTATAAAACAAATTTGATACTATTCCCTCTTTCTATTTCATTCAACTTTACTGAGTATTAATATCACTTCTTTGTATTTGTCAGGGTTTTCTAAAGGAACAGAATGGATAAAATGAATATATGTGTATTAAAAGGGGAGTTACTAGATTGGCTTGTTTGATATGGTCCATGTAGTTTAACAATGGCTGCCTCACTCTAAAGGTCCAGATTCTGGTAGTTGTTTAGTCTACAATTCTGTGTAGCTGGAGATTTCTCCAGTCCCACTGGCTTGCAACTACTGAGACCCAAGTAAACACATGGAGACATATTACGTATAAACTGTGTGGCCCTGGCAGGCTTCTTGCTATCTAGTTCTTATATCTTAAATTAACCCATTTCTATTCATCTATAAGTTGCCACGTGGCTTGTGGCTTACTGGTACTTGACATCTTACTTCTCATGGCTTCAGTGGCTGTCAGCGTCTCCTGACTCAGCCTTCCACTCCCAGAATTCTCCTCTCTGCTTATCCCGGCTATATTATACTTCCTGCCTGGCTACTGGCCAATGAGGGTTTTATTTATCAATCAATCAGAGCAACACATTCACAGCATACAGAAAGACATCCCTAGCAATTCTGGATGTCTAAGCAGTTTCATTCTGGAACTGGAGGCCTAGGGGATTACTGGAGAGCTCAGTTCTTCAGTCCACATTGGAGTCCCAGAGAATATTACTGGTTGTAAAATCAGTCAAGGAATGTCATGTCAACAGAATGAATCAACTTGCCAGCTAGAGTGACAGCAAATGGGCAAAAAGCAAAGTCTCCTTCTTCTGTCTTTTGATTTGGGCTGCCATCAGAAGGTTCCACCCAGATTTAGGATGGGTTGCCCTGCTTTAAATAATCTCCCACAGGAATGCCAGTATCTTGTGGTTTACTTAATCACAGATGCAGTCTAATTGACAAGCAAGATTAATATTCACAGTCTTCTTTGAAGTATTGTGAGACTCTTGTAGTGAATTCATCTAGTCGGGTTTTTCTTTATGAGAAGGCTATTTTCATCATTCTTTTTCCTTTTTTCATGGCTTATTATAGGTTTCTTCAAGTTGTTTTGCTTTTGGCAGTTCATATGTATTGGACTTCATTTCTTCTAAATTTTCCAGTTTTTTAGAATGTACATTTTAAAAGTATTTACCAGTGGTATGGATTTCATTGAAATCTCTCCTCATTTTTAATTTTATTAGTGTCTTCTCTCTCTTTGGGTTTATTTTGGCTAAAGGTTTGTCAGTGTTTAGCTTTTCAAAGAACTGCTTTATTGAGTTATTTTTTTTTCTTTTAAAGGATTTTTTTATTATTTTATTTTATTTTACAATACTATTCAGATATACATAACAGCCACAGATTCCCTTGTTCTCCCCCTTTTTGCCCCCCTCCCCTTCCCCCCAGGCCACCCCCCATTCCCACCTCCTCCAGAGCAAGGCCTCCCCCGAGGACTGAGATCAACCTGGTAGACTCAGTCCAGGCAGGTCCAGTCCCCT